CCAGAGCGACTGTGGAGTAGAAAGAGTTGGCCGAGATTTCCCGTAGGTGATGAACGACACGAGTGACGGAAAGACAGGACGAGACGAGAATGAATGATGAGTGTTGGTTGTCCTGACGCATCGAAGCAAGGAGATGCAACTGCTAATGGCTGAATTAGTCACTCTCATTGCGTTTTCGCCGACGCCTTGATAGCTTGCTTCAGAAGCCCAAGATGGTGGTAGAAATGACAATGTGTAAAGCGTATTTTAATATGAGGCTCGCATCCCACTGACCTGTGCGTGCAGATGCCACCGAGTATCTTAGGCTTGTCCTGTGGCCCGAGTGTTTGTGATTGAGTGGGCAGTGCACATGCATATTGGGAATTTCACTCATGCAGCAATTGGCGTGTTGTGCTCTTCCGAGTCACGGTTATCTGTGACCTCTTGCGTTGTAGTCTCCCCCGCACACAAACAGAAAGTGAGGAATTTGATGTCCTGTCGACGAAGCAGTTTCGGAACTACTTGGCGGCTCGTCTGGGGCTAATAATACCCACACACCATAACGAAAGTAGGCTAGAAAAAAATTGTATTGCTAGGTGCTGACGCTAGACTTGATCTTGCAAACACCACCTAGAGCTCACCCGCGGCACTTCAACTTCGTACAGTAACGAACCTGAAGAGCCTCTTTTGAACGCCATCCAAACCTGTCACTAAACCGTGCATGAATGTCTGCCCATGATAGTTCGCGTTCTTCTTTCAATTTGATGAGAAGCGTATCCTCCTCCTGTGTGAACCTTGCTCTCGCGCTATGTCCTCGCTTGTGACCTCTCTTGGACCCCTGGTGCACTATGTGGCCGTGTTTCATGCACAAGTCCCAGTCGAACTGTAACTGGAACGTTGCTCTGTCGTCCACAATGGTACGCTTCAGACGTACATTCTGCAAGGCCCATTCATCGAACTCCGCTCTTACACCACCGACATCATCGGTTGACGGGGGCGAGGGGAACATGTCCCGTGGTCGATTTTCCCTTGTCGAGGTATCAGGACAGTTCCGTTTACTAGGCGATCTGGGTCTAACAGAGGAGTGGCCGAATTTACGGCGCTTGCGTGAATCCGGTTGAAACCCTTCGTCCTTGGCACGGTCATGATAGTAGTCGTCTTCATTTTCATCGTCTGTTGATGAAGGGCAGTATTCTGTATCGGTCTGTCTATTGACACTGTCTTGCTCATGTGAATCGTTCCTGTCGCGCCACTGCGACTCTTCGCTTAAGGTCGGACGGAATCGCCCGCGAGTAGGGGACGGGCTCGACCTCGCTTCCATATTTTCGTCATCGATCTGCATATGAGTGTTCGGCTCGACCTCGGAGCCATCCAAAGGTTGAGACTGCACCTGAGATGGA